CTCTGAGTGGTGTGATTTAAAGTTTTCTGACATCATCATGAAAAAGCTTCTCACTATATCTGTTGAATACTCTCTTGATTGAGTTAATGTCTCTCTCATTTTCATCCTCCCAAAATATTCACTCTGAAAAGTTTAGCTTCATCTTCTCCATAACTTGCTCATAAGCATTGGAAAGCTGCTATTAGGTCCCACCAAAACATTTTCTCCCAGCTGAATGTGTTCTATTCCCCAGCTTCTCCTCCCAGGGCAAATGCTACACTCCCCTGACCTTTTCCATGGCCCCCCATTGAACTCTCCCAGTTTACCAACACCTTTCTATGCTACATCACCCGGAACTGGATGCAGTGTTCTGAATGCTGCCAAAGAAGCAATGAGCTCCTTAATCTGCTGATTTAGGCAGCCCAGGATGCTGTTGGTCATTGGGCAGATTTGGTTCATGTTCACTTCATGCCTACAAAACCCACAAGGTCTTTTTCAGCAGAGCTGCTCCCCAGAGCGTCAGTGCCCAACATGTGTCATTGCAAGGGGTTCTTCCTTCCTAGATGCAGGATTTTTCCACTTCCAATTTTATAAGGGTCCTTGCCAGCCCATTCCACCTGCCTTCAAGACCCTTTTGGATGGCAGCTCTGTTGTCCAGGGCTGCCACAGGCAAATTTGTTAAACAAGCACCTGCTCACCTCCTGCAGCATAAGTGTCTCAGTCATAAATATATGGGGACTGCAAGGGGCATGAGGAGAAGTGTCTTGGTGAAAAAGCAACCAAAAAAGTGATATCTATGTAGCTGGAAAAACAGCAGTCCCAAAAAGGATAATGATCCTGTATGCCAAGAGATGGAGAGAATCTACAAGAAATAACGTCAGCGCTCTGTTGTTTCAGCCCATAGATGAGCTATCCTTTCTATGTTAAAGACTGAATAACTAAAGTCTCTAAACTATTTTAGCAGCAGGGGAGAGCCTGCTGATTTATGGAGTAACAAACATGAAGATCCAGATGGGAATGCAGTAGCCTGGTGGAAGAGCGTTGCTTTTTTGCTTTTACAAACCTGTCACTCATCCATAGTTATTAGGGTCATTAGGGAGTTTCTCAACTGACAGAATTATTAGTAATAAGACCCCAGGAGAAAGATACTTCAACTATGAAATTTAGAAAGAGATTTTTTTCAAGATGTCTTCTCTCAAGGATATCTTTGTCCTTCTTCAAGAATAAAGATTCCCTCTCTTACACAGCAGAAGTGCAGAACTTTCAAAGATTTTGACATTAACGCTAATGAAAACTAAGATTTATTGAGACTAGCATTTGAATAATCCAGTTGTTGAAAAGTGACAACACTGGACAAATAAAACCCTGTGTGACTTGGATCTACAACCAGATGGGGTTAAGAGGCCTGTCACAAGTTTTAGGTGCCCTCTGTTTCCTCAGTCCAGCCAATAGTTGACACGACACGTCAGTGCCCATTCCCCTGCCCACCCAAAGAGTCACGCACAGTCTCTGTGTACACCCCTGTGTTCCTCTGACAAGGGGCCAGCACGAGCTGCTGTGTCTGTAGGGCACAGCCTGCCCTAAGGAGAGGTGTGAGCCTGGGTCCTGGAGCTGCCAGCCAGGAGCACTCAGTGTGCTCGGAGCAGCTGATTTACAGCAGGATTCACTCACTCAGGTGCAGCCCCATGCTGCCACCTTACATCCATTTAAGCTCCAGAGCAGCTTTCTGTGCCATGCTGCACTGCCACTTGGAACCAACCCATTGGCACTGCTGAGGCTGGATTCCCAAATTTGTGGGCTCACTGGGCTGCAGGGCTGCCTTGGCTGAGTCATGAGAATGCCTCCCTTGGTGCCTTAGCAAGATAAAGCTTGAACGTGTCTGCCCTGTAAAGCCTGTAAAGCACCCTGCAGATAACCTGTCCTCAGAAAGGCGGTAAGAGGAATCACTGTTTCACAGGCAGAAACAACCACAGAACAAGACCAGGCTGGTTTAGCTCGCTGCCAGCATCAGATCTTGTCTGCTGGGAAGCCAGATGACGAGCAGGCATACCTGCTTCCTGTAATATGTGTGCAGGAGGCTAACAGTGGACTGCTAAAAGACAAGATGTACCCAAAGCAGTGCTCCCTTGCCACCGAGCTGCCTTTAATGCCAAGGCTCCGCCTGCAGGCATAATGAAGTTTTCACACACCATTTAATGACTAAAGCATGGTCAGAACACAGCAGTGAAATGCCTAGTCACATGTTATTGTTCCTTATAATTCAAAACTGTGTTTCAGTATTTAGATTATTTCCTTCTTGTTAAACTGAAAAATTCATTTTGAAGTATTTGTGCCACTTTTTTTTTACTCATTTGCTGAACAAATTGTATTTTCAGAAAGCCTCTTCTGAACACAGTTCTTTGAAATAGTTTTTTTTTCTGAAACTGGTTCCTTAGACAGTATTGGTTCCCAGCTCAACAGGTGAACTGATGCATGATAACTGAACCTCCGGTATATTTTTGGCAACAAGATCAAATTTGACAACATAAGTGATCCTATCATTGACAAGAAACAGAGCTGTGAATTTGGAATTAAATATACTCTTCCACATCATGTTTGGAAAAACACTGATTAACTAGAGGGATCTTGAG